CAGCCATTTTACACTCGCCGTCTTCCATACAGTCCTGCAAATAAAACAAAATATATTGCTTTTATTTATTATTTATTTATTTTATTATTCTGACATAAACCTGATTTAGGACAGTTTTTCAGAAAACCTTACTCCAGTTTGCAGCAAAGCCCTAATGACTGAGACATTTTTGACAACCATCACAAAAAAGGTGATAAAACCAGTCCCAATGTCTATCTGTTCTGTACAGTATGTGATCCTAGGACAAAAGAATAACATGGCACCTGTATCAGCACAACTTCCTAAATTTAGATAGTTTTAAGTATGTAATATATTATGCAAACCCCAGAAATTAACTTGAATTTGTATCCAACAGAAGTGAGTTGCATGAAATTTATACAACACTAAAAGTGTGGATCAAGTAACCCAGAGAAAGATTTAGGCTTCATTATATTTTTTTGGATCGTTTGAAAAAATCCCAATTTCTCCTTTCCACATTTCCTGGTGAAACAGAGACTGGAAAAGGAGATGAGGAAATGCACCAACTGACGCACAAAATGGCATTTGGACCACACAGGTGAGTCACACCAAAAAGGGACAGAAATTACAGGGAGAGAAAGAAATTGTTCAGGACAATCTTCTCCAAAGGCAAAGATTCCTTGGGGGCAATTCTGAAAAAGACATACAACCAAATGAATTTGGTTTCGTGTTGGTGTTCTTATAACACGGGGATGCTTCATTGCAGGCAAGAAGTATATTTATTACTCAAAGAAAGGGGGGAAAGCAGACAATGAAGAAAGAGCAACTTACCGTTAATTTTTCCACATCGTTTTTATTTAAAGCATTCTATAAAAGAATCAAGCACATCAAATTTTGTCACAATGAAAGTACCCAGGATATTTCTAATCCATGTCATCACTACCATCCTAGCTACCATTTACATGAATTTGTACTTCTTCGCTCCACTTAGGAAATACACATTCCTTATCAAAACAGGAAGTGACTCTAAAAGCAATTTTAATTAATGGTGTTGCGAGGGTTCTTTTTTTCTGCTCTTTTGAATTTGCTTCGACCTTCACAGAATCAAAATATGCCTTGAGAAACCCGAGGAATAATGGTTGAAACAGATAAGATTAGGAAACAGGAGCTATATCAGACATGGCACTTGGAGGTAATGTCCACATTCCATTCCTTAATCGAGATTCACATTAGTTATACAGGTAAGACATCTTTATGATGGAATGTTGTTTTTTTTATATACCCCTTCATGTGCCCCCTTCCACCTCCCCTGCCTCTTCCTCCTCCAAATAGGTTCAAATGTGAAATATACTCATGATTAAATATGCAGGTTTGTATCTCTATCTACATGTGCTCTACTTGATTTTCAATGTAGCCAGGTGAGGAAAAGGAGCTGCTGAAATCCCTCAATAACATATTTATTCTCTTTCAACTGTTACAAGAATATCGCTCAGTTTTACAGCATTTTCTGGCCAGAAAAGGGATCAAAAAAGATGTAGGCCATCCTGAGTCATAAAACTCTTATTTAGGTTCTCAACACACCCTAAGCTATTCCCAAAACTTTGGAAGTTGGTGGAATTGTGCAATATTTATTAAGAATAGTTTTCATCATAAAACAA